CCGCTATAGGGCGCATGCGCTTGCCAGACAGACAGAGAGAGACATAGAGACAGAAAGCGAGAAATCACCCCCCTAGGGGGGATGGTCATGCCGCAATCCCTTCTCCTCCATTCTCCTCTCAGGATCTTGGGTGGGCATGCACACACAAGCGCCCAGCGTGATTTTAAGCCACTGGGTCCGGGACTCGAACTGCGGTCAACTACATGGGAGTCCAGCGACATAGCCACTACGCTAACTGCTGGTCCCTAAACTTACCTCATTTATTTGTGTAACTGATTACTGTGTCGACCCAAACAGAATCAAACCCCCTGAGGTGGGATCTGGGTATCATCTGAGTCCAGCCTGTAACTGGGACTCAGCCATGATCTACTTAATTGTGAATAATGAAGAAGGAGAATTAAAGTTCAAGGGGAGAAACAGCCTTGTAGTCTTTTTCTCATCAGAACGCAAAATAATTCCTTCATCTCTAACTATTAAAATTAAATTTTCTCTTTTTATCTTCTCTTTTTAACTTTTCTTTTTATCTAGGGGTGGCAGGGGTATGCCGTTGCTTCTTAGATGTTTCAACTGAGCTAAAAAATTGAGTAACATTTGGGGGCCAGCAGATGGCAAAGCAGGTACATTACTGGACTTCCACATGGCTGACCGTGCTTTGAGTCCCGGACTCATACTGTGTGTGTGCCCAAGATCCAGGGAGGAGAATGGAGAAGCCATCCCCCTGGGGAGTGATTTCTCACTCTCTCTTTCACTGTGTCTGTTTCTCCAGTGATCATACATGTCCTAAGGTGAAAACCTCTCAAAAAGAAGAAAAAGTAAAATTTGAATGAGAATGAGATCAAGCACAGCCGTTCTCCATTTTTTCCTGCTGTAGATTATTAATCAAGGGTTGAGGTTTGACCCTGTCTCTTCTTGTCGATGACGACTCGATCTGTAGCCGCTGAGCCAGCCTAGAATATGAAATGACATCCAAAGGCTGGCCCCAGAAAACTTTGTCTGGAAGTCCTCAAGCTTGCTGCCACTCGATCGCATCTTTTCTCTTGGAGATGGTCACAAACTAGTGTCACCACCTAGCAGAGCACAGTGTCAAAAGGAGGCAGAAGTTCCCTGCGGAGCCTCAGGTGTTCCGCTGGGCCCTGCTTTCCATTACTGTGCTAACTTTCTCATCTATCCTGCTGAGAAAGCACTGGCTGTACCAAAAACAACACCTGGGAGGGAATAAGGCTTGTGAATACTTATTTCTTCTCCGAAAGTCAGGAGCTATTTAAAGAGATACATATAACTCCCTCCGGAGAACAAGTAGATATCTACATGGAATTCAGAAAAACCAAGGCAATTCCATGAGGCCCTGGTTAAGGTCAGTGTCTAGAGCTGAGTCCAGCTTTAACCACTATGCCACCTGCTGAGCCTGACGGTCATTTTAAAAGGGCATTCACAGATCAGAACAGAACTAGGAAGGTCTTCAGAACAGCAGCAGATTTGGAGGCCACAGCAAACAAGAATGGCCTAAATGAGAGTCTGAAATTCTTGTTCAGAATAGAATGTCTTACCACATGGGCTGGGAAAGGATCGCATCCAGAGGAGACCCTTGACCTGATGTCAGATTAGCTAATCAGCCAGGGCCAGACAAGATGGAGAGGGGAAAGTGGGCACGGCAATACTCTCTTAATATCTGAACAGCTGTCCTGTGAGACATTTGCTGTGTGTAGCTGCAGAGTGATAAATCCAACGAAGCTCCTCTTATAGACCAAGTAGAGGGAATACAAAATTTGTTCCTCTAAGAAGTTGTATGAGGGTGAAAACATCAAGAAGTTCAAGAGGGACTGAGTGAATGGATAATGGTTCCACAGAGGATTCTGGATGCATGAGAAACAACTACAGAGCTAACAGCACAGTTCTCATTAGAATGAATAGGTAAGCTCCCCATTCACATCAGCGAATTCACTCCATTTTAAGTCATCGTCCTGCAGGCTGCTCGTAAAATGCCAAGGCAGAAGATTATTAACCAGAAAGTTACTACCGTGAAGTACCAGCGTGGTTCTCCTGGTAACTATTGGTAGTTGGGAAAGCCATGACACATTTTGCATAGAAAAAATATGACTTTTCCAACAACCTAACAGTAGTTGTAATTATTGTACAACAGCATCCTCTCATTTAATAAACTATGATGAACCCCATGTACAAATACCATATGTAGGCTCCAAAGGTAATCGGTGATTTGAAATAATTATTAGTTTGAATGTTTAAAAAGTGAACTGCATATACATATTTAATGGTAAATTTTATGGTTTTTGAATTATGTCTTAATTTTTAAAAGGTGAACTACAGTTTTATAAACCTAGACATGTTTAATTTGAAGCTAAAATTTGAGACATTAGCAAGATGATTGAGCTGACTACAACTTTTTTTGAGAAGTCTGGTGAAGAACTAAATAGAAGACTTGTTCCTGTGGCCTGACTGGTCCTGGAAGTCCTCAGAAGGCCAGGCAGCTTGCTTCGTGCTGAGGCCCTCCTGACCTTTCAGGTGAGTGTGAACAAGGGCCTTACCTTGATAGGCAAGGAACATCTTGGTGAAAGGTGGCATCCTCACCAGGAAGTGCAGTACAGTGCCGCTGTTGGAGTAGTGGGAGCCGTAGTGGTAGGGCTGCACGGGAGGCATGGGGTCATCTTCCCTGGACCCTTTGCGGTACTCATCCTCCAAGTACTGAAAGAAGAGGAGAGCGGGGAGGAGTCATAACGGTCTTGGACGCTGCTCCAGCCTGTGCCGGAAAACACTGAACGGCTCTCGGTGACCTTTCTCTGGTGCCCCCCTGACTTTCTTCACCCTGAGAATCAGGAAGCCTCCTCCTTAGGGTGGGCTACTAACATTCTGCACCCTCACATCCTCATTCCCCTAGGAAGTTGACCATCCTGCACCCTAACTCCCAGTACAGGCTCATGTCCGAGCTGCGTGAGCACCCAAAGGTGGGAGCTACTCAGTCACTAGAGATGAACGCATTTTAAAGCAGAGTGTCGAGATGCAATGTGGTTATTTAGAGGTGCTTCTCTAAAAGGAGAAATGCAGTAGAGATGTAACCAGCATTGCATGACGGCTGGCGCAGCTCTCGGCGGATGGGAGATACAGTTACACCGAGAGCAGGAGAGGGACACTGACTTCCCCACTGCTCCCGGCTTCCCTTCACGGGAGGCAGCTTAAAACCTGCCACCACCTCGTGGGCCATGGCGCTCGCCTGGCTCTGCTAACATAGTCAGGGGAGGGGACTGCCAGTCACTGCTCCGACCCTCAGCACTGTGCCATGCTCAGCTGCAGGGGGTCAGACAGTGACGGCACAGATGCTTGGCCGACCTCCCTGGCATGCGACATGAAATAGCGTGGGAATGGGAACACCGCTCCAGGTGTCCTCGGCTAACAAGATGCAAAGTGTAGCTAGGGAGCTTTTCTAAGTTTCAACAGAACTGCACTGGCATTAATTCACAGAAGCAGGTAATTCACTTCTTTTCTTTCCTTTTTCTCTTTTTTTAAGTTTTTATAATAGGGTGTGCGTGCTCACTAAAGAGAGACGGGGGGAAAGTGAGAAATCGCCCCCTGGGGAGATGGCCACACTGCAACCCCTCCTCTCAGGATTCTGGGCATGCACATGTGCATGGTGTGATTTTCAAGCTGCCAGGTCTGGGACTTGAACTGCAGCTGGCCACGTGGGAACCCAGCATCTTAACCACTTCGTCACCTGCTGGCCCCTTTATTTCTATTTTTTAAATTTAAAATCTGGTAAACTCCTGCTTAATAAACCAATGCATAATCTCCTAAATATGACTAAAAAGGGTTATGTACACAAATAACACCAGGGATATGAACAGCAGATCCTGGAAACCTGTGATTGTGTAAGATACATAGTTACTACATGTTTGAACCAACAATGGGTTATCAGCTTTCAACCTATGTCAAAATAAGTATATTCTTTTTTTTTCGGCAAAGTGTTTTTTTTTTTTTTGGAGAGGTTTGTGCTATAGGGTGCGTGCGCTCGCCAGACAGACAGAGAGAGACAGAGAGACAGAAAGCGAGAAATCACCCCCCAGGGGGGATGGCCATGCCGCAATCCCTTGTCCTCCATACTCCTCTTGGGATCTTGGGCACGCACGCACACATGCCCGGCATGAGTTTTAAGCCACCGAGTCCAAGACACGAACCGCAGTCGGCTATGTGGGAGTCCAGCGATATAGCCATTACGCTAACTGCTGGTCCCTTGGCAAAGTGTTATTAAAGAATTCAGACAAAAGAACACTTAATTTCATATGATTTCTAGTCATCTGCCAAAGGACAAGGAAATACAAACGGAAAACTCGACTATAAATGTAGGCGTCGGCAGCCAGGCTGTAAGATGGAACATCGTCTCTCGCTGCAGAGCCGGTGTGAGCTAGGCTACCTTGTACGTGTCCACGTAGCGGTCTTCTTTCTCCTTGTACTGCACGGCTATAGGCTTGGCCAGATTTCTGCAGAGGGAAGGAGAACGGCCTGTGAAATATTTTCATACTGCCAAACTAAGCTGCTTAAGTGTCCACACCCTGTGAGAGAACAGGTGACCCAGGAAGTGCTCGGGCTCCGACTGCCCACACAGCTAGCAGTCACCACCCAAAGTTAGGGCTCCAAGCCCTGGTGACGTAGGGTTCCCCGCAGACCCTCCGTGTTAGGGCTTCCCACACACGAGGGGCCCGATGGAAACTGCTGCCCCTCCTCCTTGCTTCTGCAGTGCCCCCAGAACTATGGCTGGGACTGCCCTGGCCGCTTATTGCCACCAAGTCCTGGGTGCTCTTGTCCCCATTTTGAAGATCCCAAGTCCAGTCAGGCAGGGCAGAGTGAGAGATCTGACAGAAACTGGATCACGTGGAGACGCAATGTGACTTATCCGAGTTAGTAAAATGGGAGGAATGGCGCGCACTTCTGGAAGATGGCTAGTGGGGCTCCCGGGGTGTGAGCACGGACGTGGCCACCTTACCAGCTGCCTAGCGGACACGGAGCACTGCCCCGGTACACGTGCAGAGCACACGGGCACGTCTATCTGTGCTCACACTGCAGACACCACACGCCACCGCTCTCTGAGGAAACAGACTGAGGGCCTGCGGCCTCGCTTCCACAAGCCACGGAACCCGGTGGTGCCCCCGCGGCTCCCCAAAGAGCAAGAAAAAGGCCCAAGGAGGAAGGGCAGGCCGGCAGCCTGGCTCCGGCACAGGGACAGGGACGCCTGGACCCTTGACCTCTGGCACCTTGACTTAGGCCAATGACAAGTTTGCCCAGACGCCAGTAATCAAGCCAGACCTGTTTAGGCAGCTGTTTATATACCTATTTTCCCCAATAAACCATCTCCTAGGGATTGAAATGAGTGATATTAAACACTAATTTTGTTCTTGAGACTTTTTAATCCTAAAAACTTTGTTAAAAAGAGCAGCTTTACATAACAGGTAAGAATTTACAACCTGAGGGACCAGCAGTTAGCATAATGGCTATGTCGCTGGACTCCCATGTAGTCGACCGCAGTTCGAGTCCCAGACCCAGTGGCTTAAACTCACGCCTGGTGTGTGTGTATGTGTGTTTGTGTGTGTGTGTGTGTGCCCAAGATCCCGAGAGGAGAACAGAGGAGAAGGGATTGCGGCGTGGCCATCCCCCCGGGGGATGATTTCTCACTTTCTGTCTCTCTCTCTTTTTAAAATAATAATAATAATAATAAAGAATTCATAGCCTGAAACTAGAAGAAATCATGTTGAAGATCTTCACATGTAAGTTAAAAAGTTATTTGTTTAATTTTATATATTATTATTTTCTTTTAGCTTGCTATAGGGCATGTACACTCACCAGAGAAAGAGAGAGGGAGGGAAAATGAGAAAGCAAGCCACCAGGTCTGGGACTTAACTAGTGGTCAGCCAGGTGGGAGTCCAGGGCCTTAACCACCATGCCACCTGCTGGCCCCATTAGCATGCGATTTTTAACAGACAGTGTAAACCAGATTTTCTGGGCTCAAATTGTATTGGTGTGGTTTAAAAATCAGAAATTACGGTAGGGTAAACAGAATAAATTAAAAATCAGCCACGAGAGGCCAGCAAGTAGCATTTTAGTTAAAATGCTGGGTCCCCACATGGCCAACTGTGAGAGTCCTGGACCCAGGTGCTGGACATGTGTGTATGTGCCCCAAATCCCAAAAGAATAATGGAGAAGGAATTGCAGCGTGGCCATCTCCCCTGAGAGTGATTTCTGACTTTTTCTTTCTGTGTCTCTCTCTGGTGAGTGCATGCGCCCTGTGGAAAAATGTAAAAAAGAAAAAAATCGGCCACAGCAGTACTCCTCACAGATAGACATGTTGGGGAGGGGTTTCCGTGCTTATCTGCTAGCATATGCAATTTCAAATACAAAACAGACAACTTTTCAGTCTATAATATACTTTTACAATATCATTTCAACAGTTACAGCATGTAAGGATTTACTCACACCTAGTGTGGGGGCTTATAGGTTATTTCTAAACTGTAGCTACTTTCAAACCTCTGTCTAGGCTATGCTATGGAGTATCACTTTAATAGCTCCACACGCAACAATTTACTCAAACCTAGTGCCTGGGCTGAGGTTATTTCTAAACTGCAGCTACTTTGGGTCTGGGCTATGGGATGACCACATCTTTGTATAGAGTGCCAGGCACACGCTGAAGCAGATGTTGTTCCTGCCTTCATGAAACATCTAGAAGGACCCTTCCTGGGAGAGTCATCAGCTTTAAGCATGCTCTAAGAATAAATTCCTAGAAGCCAAATTGATATAACAGAGTATGTGCATTTTATTTATTTATTTGGAGAGATTTTTGCTATAGGATGTGTGCGCTTGCTGGAGAGAGACAGAAAGCGAGAAGTCACCACCCCCCCCCGGAGGGGATGGCCACGCTGCAATCCCTTCTCCTCCATCCTTCTCTTGGGATTTTGGCTGCACACATGCACCTGGCACTGTTTTTAAGACACTGGGCCTGGGCCTTAAACCAAGGTTGACTAAGTAGGGGTCCAGTGATGTAACCATTCCGCCATCTGCTGGTCCCCAGAGTATGTACATTTTAACAGTTGTTTGGACATACATATGTATAGTCAAATTGCCTTCTAGAAAGACTGTACCTATGTATAGCAGCAAAGTATAAAATGTCTAAATGTCCCCTGGCAGTGTATAACCCCCTAAAAGAGAAACGATGTGGCATTTGCTCTTTTTAAAAAATCTGTCTGTTTATTTATTCATCTACATATTTGTTGTGATATTTTAAGTCCAGGTCTGGACTTGAACCATGGTCAGTCATGCAAGAATCCAGCACCTTAACTACCATGCCACCTGCTGGCTTCCGTTTGGTCTTTTTTAAATTGACAAATGCATTAAATTGAATTGGATTTCTTGAGAGCCACTGAAACTATGCCTACTTTGGGGGCAGTTACAGCTGAAATATTTTAAGGAGAACATATGAAGTCAATTGCTCTTTCAATGAGCAACACACCTGTTCACCAGGGTTATTTGGTTACTGTAAAATACAGCCCATTAGGGAAGGCAGGGTCAATGCCACATTCTTCTTTAATTCCCAAATGTCAAAGAATTAGTGCTTTGTGCTGCCTTTTTCTCTGTTGTTTGGTTTTCCTTTTTAGAAGTGTCATTACGAACTTCTGCGTTTATCTCGCTGTGTCTCAAGCGCTGGGTGTCAGTACTCGTTTGGATTCCCAGACTGCCCCTCGGCCGCGAGGGCCACTGCAGGGCCTGGGTCCTCTCGATAAGGCTAGTGGCGTCCTGGCTCCCTGATCCAGTAGCTAGTCCGGGCTCCTCTTGTTCGTTTCCTTCTAACACATTTGGAAGAACCGAGAACAGGAAGTCACCCCTTCGTAAGCCCGAATGAAGGGGCTGACTCATCACCGAGGACGAAGCCGGCAGGCACGAGTGAGCACCCTGAGGGTGGGCATCGCGGCCTGCTGCTGGGATGCAGTGGATGCCCACGCTGCCACCAAGGGCTCACGGAGAAAGCTGGGCTTGAACCTATGCGAGACTCTGGAATTGAGACTCTGTCTCTAAGAGAGACAAGCCAGAGGAACAAGCTCGACAACGCCACAGGAAGTGACTGACGACAGAACAGGGGACATCCTGTGGAGTAAAGGACCCTGTGTTCCCCACAAGTCAATGTGAGAAGAAAAGGAAAAGCAGGTGCTAGAAAACTGGGGAGAGGAGGGCTGCTCTCGAGGTACGTTTGAGACCCAGCGACGAAAGGCAATAGGCCCGATGAGAGCCAGTCAGCTCCACCTGGAAATGAGCTGGGCTTAGAGGCTATCTAATGATGAACATCTCCCTAGGTGTGGCCCTGCACTGCACTTGGCTAGAAAGTGTCCTTTTTGCTTTTTTAAAGAGATGCATTCCGTACAAAGGTGACATCACAAGATGTCTGTGATTGGCCTGAAAAAAGATAAAGAAAACGCGAGTGGGATAAAAGTCTTTGTGACCCAGCACTGCTGGGGGGGTGCTGAGCACGTGTTCCTCTTACAATCCTTCCATGCCTGTGATCGTCCCTGACAGAAGCGTGAATGGGACCAGCGTGACGCGCAGCGGGACAGACGGCGCTGCTCACCGACCTGTAGATGGATGGGTCACCGAGGTCCAGCGTCTCGCTCACGTAGTCGGCCAGGATGAACGGGAACACGGGGTACTGCATGAGGTCGTTGAAGGAGCGGCCGGCGTGCTTGTTTAGGTGAGTCAGATACTCGAAGTTGGTGATCTGGCCGGCGTACCAGAAGCCCGTCAGGGCGGAGAGGTTGCCGTACTCCAGGAGGTTGGGCAGGCTGTTCGTGAGGATGCTGTGGTAGACGTCGTCCCGGACCTAGGAGGGACGGAGCGAGAGCCCAGCTGAGTGCTTCCAGGCTGACGGAGACTCCTCTCCGAGAACTCGTGTACTAGACACCATACTAGCCTCAAGTCCTCCAAGAAAATGCTTTTCCCAAGCAAGTTCCATAGAACTGGAGAGCCAGCCCAAAGCCAGCGAGGCTGCGAGGCTGGGCTTCTAACTTCCACGCTGTGCTGCTAGAGAAGGTGCTGGGTTGCTGGAGAGCCATGACACGTGTTCGCATAGAAAAACAGTAAAATACATCCCAGCTCTCCCAGTGACCTATAGCACTAAACTTCTACGAAAAAAGTCGCTAGTACAGAGATACGGAAGAGTTTGGGCCTAAATAAACGCAAAGGTGGAAAGAGCCTGAGCTCAGGAGTTAGAGTGGGGCTGCTTCCTGCTTGGCCCGTGCGGCAGTGACCACGTCTGTCATGAAGAGCCACAGAATGACTGAAGCAGACATAAACTTTACTTCCGAGAGATTCACAAGAGTCACAGAAGTCTGATTCTTCTAAAGCACTTAAATGATCATTGGTAATAAATAAACAACTGACAAGCCACACTTTTGCTAAAAGCAGACTTGAAACACCCACCTTTTAAAAAAGGTCTATTTTACTTTTTTCTTTTTTGGACAGATTTTTGCTATAGGGTGCGTGTGCTCGCCAGAGGGACAGAGAGAAAGACAGAGACAGAAAGCAAGAAGTCACCCCGGGGGGATGGCCACGCTGCAACAGCTTTTCCTCCATTCTCCTCTCAGGATTTTGGGTACACACGCACACACACAAAGTGTGAGTTTTAAGTCGCCGGGTCTGGGACTCAAACTACACTCGACCATGTTGGGAGTCCAGTGATTCAACCATTATGCCATCTGCTGGTCCCCCCAAAAGTTTATTTAACTTTTACATTCATGTTTTCTGAATGAAGACAGAGAGACCGTCAGACGGGCCCCTGCCGCAGTCCACCCCAGCCTCAGCCTGCCCAGGCCACATGCTGGCCGTGCTCAGGGCGCCCTCAGGGCCTGAGTCTGGGGCTTTCCCAAGTGGCCTCAGGCTCAGGGAGCATCGTGCCACCACCGCACCTGGCACAGAGTGCCCAGCTCCTGCCTTTAAGGGGAGGCTCGTCGGCTAGGCCCAGGGCTGCCGAGGGGCCAGGGAAGGATCCCTGAGGACCAAGAAATGACCGTGGGGCCCAACCCCACAGCGGTCGCTGCTTGACCCTGACCAGGGAGGGCTGACGGGGCGATTCAGGAGAGCTGGACGCACAGGTACCCGCAGCTGCCCCCAAGAGGTCTCCACATGGAAGAGCAGGGAAGTGGCAGCTGGAGGATGGACGTGGGGGGTCAAGGGAGGGATGTCGGGAGGAACCCCGTACTACACAGGCCGCGCTGCAGCTCCTTCCTTTGGTCACTTCGGGATCTCACGACCTCAGAGGGCAGAAGTCACCCTCAGGCAGAGTCTACTTAGTCACGAGTGGCGCGAACGGCGAGTCCTCCTGGGGCTGCGCGTGAGGCTCTAGGCGCGCCTCTCTCTCCCCCTCCCTCTCTTCTGGAAGAAATAGACTTCGGGAAAAATAAGATGCTTTCCACCTGACTCCAGAAATAACGAGCTGAAGTGTAAGTGCGCTAGACCTCCCGTGGCACGAGGGCAAGGGGGGCGACGCGAGGCCACGCCCGAGCGGTGGCTGCGGGCACACCTTGGAGCTGTCGAGGGCCAGCAGCAGCGTCCTGCCGTTCGTCAGGAAGACCTCCACGGCGTTGTCCCGCAGCTGCCACCAACGCTTGTGAACCTCTTTGATCTCCTCGTATGTCCAGGAAAACGACGCTGGCTCCAGCTCTCCCTGAAGGCTCTGAGACAAAGGAAATGGACAGAAATATTTGCCTTTCATAAATATAAGTTATCATCTTAACTTTAGATTTAAAAAGCTATCAAAGTGACATAGAAAATGTTCCTTTTGTGGCAAAATGGCAGATGAGATTACCTGAAAACCTTTCCACTACAAAACATTTCAAAGTGCTAGATACAATTTAGAAATTAAACAGAAAAATTAATGGACTCTTCTCCACCAGTTTTAGGTTTACCAGAAACCGAGCAGATAGTACAGAAGGTTCCATGTGCCCCCGGCTGGCCTCCCTGTTACCGTCTTGCGTTTGGTGGGGACGTTCATGACGGCTGACGGACCAGGTGTTGGTACAATGCTCTTACCTAAATCCCTAGCTCACAGGGTTTGCGCAGTCTCACTTGGCACCGACGGCTCACTCAGACATGGAATACCCTGCCGCGCCTCGCCTGCCTATCCAGCAACCATGGGTCTCAGTCTCCACAGCGCTGCATTTCTAGAAGGCCAGGTAGTTTGAATCACACGGGACTGGCCTTTCCGGCTGGCTCCCTTACTGGGCAAGTACTCTCTTCAATGCACAGCTGAGCTTGCCAGAAAGCGGAGGAGTGCAACCCCGAGGAGGAAGAGGTGCCGTGGGCCACTTGATGAGCTGTGTCTGTGTGCACGTGGCATACCCACAGCCCCATTTAGACAAGAAGCTAGTTCATGTCCCATGTCAGGTGGCCTCGGGCCTCAGGGGGTCAGGAATGGAACGGAGGGTCTTTGAGAATGCTGAAACCTGTGACGGGACATGTTCCCAGTACAAGATCACAGAAATACACCACCGCTGACGGGGAACAGCCAGGAAGCCAGTCTCTTTCAGACACAGAAAAAGACTGTCTCATATGTCAACTTGTGTGACAAAGACACATGCTGAGAGCAACGCGGACTGTGCTTGAACTAGCAGGTACCAACCCAGTGCTCACTGCTCTAGAAATCCCAAAGAACGCCTGCTAAGATTTTGAGCTATGTTAAATATTTCCATGACTCTCTTCTTATTAGGTTTTTATAACCAAATCTCACGCTCTCACGCATCAATACCTTTAAAATCAAATATATACCCACCATCGTACCGGCATGCACTTTCATAGGACATCCTCAGCAAGCACTGCTCGGACGTCCCTGAGGTAAAAGCCCCCTTTCTGCTACAATGGGACAGGCCGACCAAACCAGTAAAAACGTCACTATGGAAAATATGTGAGCCAAGTGTCTTCTAAAATGCTCCTGGTTATTATCAGTATTCCCAGAAGAACAGAAGTTACCATCACTAAGCCACGTGAGCATCAGGTGACGTAAGTTACCAATTGCACAGATGAGTCCGTCTCCCTTGGAAGGCAGAGGCAGCCGGGTGGGAACTGGGCAGCAGTGAGGACGCGTGGGCAGAGATGGACATGGTGGGAGAGCGGTAGCGCCTAACCTGGCTACCGACTGCTGAGAGGCTCAGGGCGTAAGCCAGAGGGGTGGCACAGTCCTCTTTTAAAAATCATCTTCCAAAAACACTGGGAGGTCTAAAAAGAACTGCGACTCACTCTGGGCACGGAAGGCCGGTCTGACGTCAGAGGTCAGAGTAACTCAGCACCGTGACAGGCTGAGAAGGAGAACCACGTGAACCACGTCAGCAGAGAAAACAGTGAACAAAAGCCAAACTTCACTCGTTAAAACACAGTAGGTGGGCCAGCAGCTGGCGAGGCGGGTGAGGTGTGGATCTCAGATGGCTGATCACAGTTTGAACCCCGGCGGCTTGAAAATCACGCCAGGCACATGTGCACGCATGCCCAAAATCCCACGAGGAGAATGGATTGCACCATAGCCATCCCCGAGGGATAATTTCTCATTTTCCCTCTCTCTGTCTCTCTGGTGGCTGCACATGCTCTCTGGAAACAAACAACCGCAAAACAATGAAAGCTGGAACTCGGGCCAAAGTAGACACTGACTGTGGCAGCTGAACCCTACGCTCTCGGTAGGCTGAACTTGGACACCTCCCATTTGTCAGGTATGCTGCGAGTGCAAACTCAGGCCTCTACTCACCGAGCTCTCAGCAGTCTCAGAAGCATTATCTTCCACAAAATACATTCCACACTTGCCTGAAGAAAATAATTGAATAGAAGAGTTTAAAAATGCATGTAAATAAACACTTGTTAGGTGTTATTATCATTATTCTTTTACAATTAGCATATTGATTTACTTCATTTTTTAATTTTTTGAACAATTATTTAATCTTAATTATTATTTTAAAATCTAACCAGAGACAGAGAGAAACAGAAGGGAAGTGAGAAAGCAAGCTGCCAGATCTGGGACTCGAACTCCTGTCGGCCATGTGGAAGTCCTGCACCTTAACTACCATGCCACCTGCCCACCCAATTAGCTTTACTTTTTTGTCACACTGTAACTGAAACTAAGCAGTAAACCAAGTGTTTCATTTTGCTGACTGAGACACGACAGACCCGAGCAGGCCCTAGAAGTGGTTGCCGTTCTCCCCGGCCCGCGATAGCTGTTGTTGACACACACCCCTGCATCGTGCTAGGAGCTTCCCAAGGCACCTCCACCTGCATACGGGTCTCCCTGAGGGCTGGGGCCATGGAGTACATCTCCTTCCTGGACTGTGGGGCTAGACCTCCCACTCCAAGCTCTTGCTTCAGACGCTGGCCCACAGTGAGTCCCAAGTTTGAGGGCACGGTGGACTCCCAGGAGGCCCCCTAAGGACAGACTCCACCTGATATTCAGACAAGAAGCCATTTTAAGGCTGAGGTGTGAACTGGTGTGCTCAGGGAAGCTCTGCTCTAGGCTCCATCTCCTAGACTCCCGAAACATGCAGACAAGGTAAGGCGGTCATCTTTTCTCTGTCTCTGGCTACCTCTCTGTCTTGCTCTCTCTGTCTTTAAATTAAATTTTTTTCTTCGAACTTTTCAACCACTTCTCACCTTGGGCCTTCTCTCTCACTTGCTAATTTCAGAAGCCATTTTAAAGCTGAGGTCTGCCCTGCTGTGCTAGCGTGGCACACGAGTGCACTGTGCAGTTTTCATTTTTACGTGTAAATTTTTTTTTCCTCTTTTTTGGTAGTATTTATCTAGCTTTTTTTTTGCTTTTTGCTTTATCCTTACTTTTAAAAAAATCCTTAATTTCTCACTCTAAGCTTCACTCTCCACACACTGAATGTCTAGACAGGCCTAGGTGCACAGTAGCCAAGCATCTGAATAGTTTTAGAGTCATTGAAATCCTCACTGCTTATTGAACCTCCTGCTTTAATAATTTTTTTTTTTTTTTTATAAATCTGAACTCCTAATCTTTCTGTGGATACCACATTGTGAAGCACAGTGGAGGAGAGATTTTGTCACAGAATGACCAGAAACAACCGCAGAGGCACAAGAAACACGAGAAATCAAGAAAATATCTCTCCCCTAAGGGAAAGAATGCTCCCTCATCACCTAGTACAGCACAGTAGGACTCATGGAAATGTCTGCAGAGAATTCAGAATACTCAGTGACAACACTAAACGAGATGCAAGAGCTGAGGGGTAATGAACCGCAGAAGGTACAGGAGAAAAGAGACAGCGAGTTCCAGGAGGTGAGGAAGTTCTCCCATGACCTGAAAGAGGAAACACACACCATAAAAAAGAATCAAATGGAGCTATGAACGAGGAAGGCTGCCGTTCAGGAAATCGAAACCTCCCTCTAAAGTATTAAAAGCAGGTTAGTTCATGCAGAAAGTTGAATCTCAGATGTTGAAAGCAAACGCTCTGATCTAGAAAAAAACAACCAAAAAAACTGAGAATTAACCCAAACATATGAGAGGTACTAGACAGCAGTAAGCACCCAGACATCCAGATAATCGGCATCCCAGAAGGTGAGGGAACTAATCAGGGCACTGATCATCTATTCCACGAAATCCTGGAAGAAAACATTCCAAATCTAGAGAGAGAGGCACTCAAATATCCAGACCCAGGAAATACAAAGGACCCCTAGTAGAATCAACCCAAGAAGATCTTCTCCAAGGCACCCTGCAGCCAGACTGGCCAAATCTACAAAGACAAGATACTAAGATTGGCAAGAGAAAAACGGCAAGTTACCTACAAAGGATATCCCATCAGGCTAACCTCAGACCTCTCATCAGAAACAATGCGAGCAAGGAAAGAATGGGAAAATATATTCAAAGTGTTAAGTGAAAAGCAGTTTCAACCAAGAACACTGAACCCTGCATGATTATCTTTCATATGGAAAGAACGGATAAAAACATTCTCAGATAAACAAGACCTGAAAGAATTTGCCAATGGCAGACCTACTCTTCAAGAAGTTCTGAAAGGAGTGCTCGACCAGGAAAATAAAGACATACAGAAATAAGAGAGCAAAAGGCAACCAAGAAAACGACCAGTGTAATGCTAGGGACAAGAAATATCGATAATAGTGCTGAATGTTGGCTCCCAGGATTCGAACGGAGAGAGTGGACCACAGTGACACTGCAGATTCAACAGAAGAGAGTTTGAACGTAAGACTGAAACTCGAAACAGAATTTTACGGCGTGTGAGTAAAACATCACTGACCCCTTCCTTTCCCTGTGCTCTGTTCTCCCAATGGAGACACTTACTTTGTTCCTTTTGTTGATAGGCCCAGCAATTTGTTAAAATATTTTTCTTGTTTGTTTCTTTAAATGGAAACATAAACTTTTCTTCCTTCCTGACCCCTCTGGAATTGGAAATATTTGGGAGTATTCTTATTTTTTGGCAGAAGGGTTATTTGCATAAGTTCAATAATGCTTGTTGCATTGAATCAGAAATTGGAAATACTCATTATTGGACAGGGCTTTGATTGGAATGTCAGACCTGAAGGTTAACTGGTGTGCTGGGCATTTGCTTTCCAACAATTTGAGTAGCTGACATGTAAATATTTTCTCAAAAATATTTAAAACCATATTGTCTCTGTGGTAATAAAGTCACAAGTGAAATCATAAGAAATATTTTGAACATTATCTTTAAAATTTGGTAGTTTGAAATTTTGAAAGTCGTTTATTAACTGTCAAGAACTATGGAGTATGAACAAAATTTTTTGATATGTAAAGTAAATGTTTGTGGAAACATGTTAAAATAAATAAGTGGAAAAAAAAAAAAAAGAACACACCCTGCCCACTGCCGAGCTGCAGTCAGTAGGCCTGGGCTAAGGCCCCAAAGTATGTGTATCTGTCTTTCTTTTTTAAAGAATTATTAATTTAATTTTATTTATTATGATTTTTTAATTTGACTAGAGGTGAGGAGCGGTGTGAGGAAGCAAGCCTCCATATCTGGGGCTCAAACCACAGCTGGCCAAGTGGGAGTCCAGCACCTTAGCCACACCACCTGCTGGCCCTAAGACTGGATATTTTTTTCTTCCTTTACTTTTTTTAAGAGAGTTTTTTTTGTTTGTTTTGCTATAGGGTTCATATGCTCACTGGAGAGACAGAGACAGAGACAGAAAGAAAGTGAAAAATCACTCCCTAGGCGGGATGGCCTTGCCACAATTCTTTTTCCTCCATTTTCCTCTCAGAATTTGGGGCACCCGTGCACATGTGCCCAGTGTGATTTTCAAGCCTCTGGGTCTGGGACTCAGAGTGAGTCGGCCATGTGAGAATCCAGCGCTTTAACCACCATGCCACCTGCTGGCCCATTTTTTGTTATTATTTTTAGTAAGCTGGTTCTTAAGGAAATGGAGATCAAATTGCATAAGTTCATTCCTTTGTAACCGGAGGGAAAACTACCCGCCAAATATGCCCATGTAGGCATCCCTGTGCTGAGGGACACACCGTGAGACGTCTCGAGGTGGATGACTTCTCGTGCACAGCTGTATTGTTAAAGCAGGAGATGGCCAGCAGGTTTGAGCCCTGGACCTGGAGGACTGGAGGGGGAATGGGTCGGGCAGGTGTGCCCAAGATCCCGAAAGGAGGGTGGGGGAGGAGGGGCTGCAGTGCAGTCACCCACCCCGGGGGTGATTCTCCCTCTCCCTCTCTCTCTCTCCAGCGAGCACATGTGCCTATTGCAAAAACCTTAAAAAAAGGAAAAAAGAAAAAGAAAAAAGTGTACCCACGAAGGAGGTCTTGATAAAAACTGAAGTGCCGGGGCCAGCAGGTGGCATAATGTCTATGTCGCTGGACTCCCACACAGTCAGCCGGACTGGGCGGCTTAAACTCACACCAGGCGCGTGTGCGTGCGTGCCCAAGATCCCTGGAGGAGAACGGAGGAGAAGGGATTGCGGTGGCCATACCCCTGGGGGGTGATTTCTCTCTTTCTGTCTCTCTGTCTTTGTGGCGAATACATGCGCCCTACAGCAAAAACCTCTCTTAAAAAAAAAATTAAAGTGCCTTCATGTGCTTTCCAGAAAAAGTAATCCTTCGCATTCGTGTGTCATGTGCAGTACACATGGTAATACAGCAAACAGCTGTGACGGTAGAGACGGTTCATCTCATTCTGATTATCTAAAGAAAAGTCAGGCAGGATGAGTGCGTGTGGACTTCTTCAAAACCTGACTCACCTAGTAAGAGTTCCCCAGCTGTCTCTCTGGATGGTGCAACGCTGATACATCTTCGGTTGACTCTGTCAAAACATATTTAAAGTTACTATGGTTACGTATTTTGATCAACCTTAGAGTGTAAGCTTTATTTTGCTTCTATCAATGGAGGATTTCAGCAAAGCGGACCAGTTTCAACGTCATGGGTGTCTCGTCAAAACCCATATGAAAACACAGTCTCATTCCTGGACATTCTAGGGGAGAAGTACGACTCTTGAGTCTTCCCTGCTTAGAGCAGTCCTTAGAACAGCAGCACGGTCTAGAATAAGCATCGTAAGGAGCGGTACGATAAACCACTGTACGTCACAAAGGAGCAGAGACCCAAGGGCTCGGACTTACCTTATAGACTCACTCGCAGCCTTGTCCTTGACAGTAGACGAGAAGGAAGAATGAGTTCTGTCTTCGAATAGGTAGGACAGTGGCGGTCTGACCACACCTGTGAGGAAAGCAGAACTGTCTTTACCCGCCACAGCTCCGGGCTGGGCCAGCAAGTTGCGTCCAGAAGCCGCCTTTACCTTGTGACCTCTGTCTGTCCTTGAGGAGGTACTTATTCGGAATAGTCAGGTAACATCTCTGCAGACGCCTCCTCTCACGATTCGGCCCTTCTGTTGGGTCCAGCTGCCACGAGGTTGGGCAGTGGAGAGGGTCATGCCAGACTGCTCTGCAAGTGAGAGTGACAGGGGCTTGGCCTGGCCGTCCCGAACCTGCGACTGCAGCACCACGGTCCAGGTGGTCGAAGGAAGGGCCGCTGATCTTTCGATTAAAGCAGGCTATTCAGTCTCACATTCAATCAGGGAACGAACATGAGAGAGCAAAGGGACGCCAGTGAGAGTGCGGGTCGGGCCCTAAGCCAGTCCCCCGGGCTCCTCCCAGAGGTCCGCTGTGGGAAGGAACTCGCGTCAGCCTCCAGTTTCTCGTACCTGCTACATTTAAAGGAAATACACCAGGACTGTTGGGTTGTCACGACATAAAATAACAACCCGGGCTTAACATGGTTCCTAAGAAAAACGTTTTCACATTGATTCCTCATATTTGCCATTTTCCCTATTCTAATGTAAGAAAATTGCTTCCTTTTGTGGTATACATCATGTTCAAAAAGGATTTACATTTTGGGCAAGTAGGTGGCATGGAGGCTAAGAAGGATGGATCCCACATGGCAACTCTGCAGCGGGCGTCCAGGACTCTGCAGTTTAATAATCAAGTGGGGAGCACATGTGTGTGTGGGCCCAAAATTCCAAGGGAGAATGGAGGAGAAGGGATTGCGGCATGGGCATTCCCCCAGGGGGGATTTCTCACTTTCCTCTCTGAGTCTCTCTTCAGAATGCATGAGCCTAACCCCCCTCAAAAAAACATTTTAGAAAGAAATAGTAAAACTATATTTAATATTTTTTTAAATATACAAGAAAATAATCATCCTTAATCTTATGATCAAAAACATACAAAAATACTTAGTGTACTTTCTCGTCTTGAAAGCGTGTTTATTTATTGCAGGAGAACGAGACATAGAGAAACAGGCACCCCCGACAGGGTCTGACCTCTCCTCACCTCCGCCTGCAACCAGTTAGGTCAGACCTGACCTGGGCCCCACACGTGCTCTAGATCCTGCAGCTGCCGCCCTACCACCTATGCCGCTGTAGCTAGGCTGACTTACTTTTAAAAAGATGCATCAGGGGACCAGCAGACGGTGTAACAGTTATGTCGCCGGACTCCCACATGGTCGGCTGCGTTTCGAGTCCTAGACCCGGTGGCTTAAAACTCATGCTGTGTGTGTGTGTGGGGGTACCCAAAGACACTAGAGGAGAATGGAGAAGAAGGGATTATGGCGTGGCCATCTCCCCGGGGGGGTGATTTCTCATTTTTTGTGTCTTTTGCTCTTGGTCTCTCCAGTGAGTGCATATGTCCTATAGCAAAAATCTCTCTCTCTAAAAAAAAAAAGCATCAATTTTCAATTTGTAATGATAATCATTATGTATACATATAAGGGGTCTTCAGAAAGTTCATACAACTGCATATTAGAAAAAACTATGCATACGTTTCAAAGTTGTTTAGCACTAAAATAAACTTGTACTTTAATTTCATTTCTCCATGACCTTTTGAAGTATCTTCATATATTTGCTGAATATGAATTTCCATTTCTTTTTAAAGAGAGATTTTTACTATAGGGCGTGTGCGCTCACTGGAGAGACAGAGACAGAAAGTAAGAAATCACCCCCCCAGAGGAGACCAGTAGGTGGCGTGGTGGTTAAGGCACTGGACATTCCCACATGGCCAACTATGGTTCGAGTGGACCTGGTGGCTTGCTTTCTCACTCCTTCTCTCTCTCATCAAATTAAAATAATGAATAAATAAAATTAAATAAAATAATTCTTTTCTTTTTAAAAAAGAAATCACCCCCTAGGGGGATGGCCATGTCACAGTCCTTTCTCCTTCATTCTCCTCTCAGAATTTCGGGAATGTATGTGTGCCCAGTGTGAGTTCTATGCCACAAAGCCTAGAACTCGAACAACATCAGCGTGTGGGAGTCCAACAGTGTAGCTGTTGCGGAGGAGATGTTAGATACACTGGCGTAAGATCAAGATCCACATTCATTATCTTTCTGCAGTTTCTCCCGCTCTATTTGAGCTCAGAACGTTGCCCTCCACAGAGCTGACAAATACCCCGTTTTCTTCTACTTGGTTGACTGTTAACTCTTTCATCCACCTGAAATTTATATTTGTGTATGTTGAATGCAGCGCAGTACCCGAAGTCATATTCACCAGTTATCTTCGCCGAGTTTAGAGAAGAATAATTCAATCTCCCTCTCTTCGCTATCTGTAATGTATCTTAATTATGTTCACCAAGTCTTGGCTAGAGAAAGCTAGCTCTTCTTCACCACCCTGTCTCGGTGATTTCCTTGTACAAAGGCCATCTTGTGAAGTTAAAGCCAGCCTCATTATCTGTACAAGCTAATGTCTCTCCTCTTTAATGCGTTTTCCTCCCCCACAATTGTTTAGTCACTCACCTACATCAATACAGTACATGAAATGAGATTTTCCATCCCTCCCCCAATTACAAAAAGGAAATCTCATATAATTCTTCAAGATGAAAAAAATCACAAATGATTAAACACGAGGAATGCTTGGGCTAAGGAGATGGATTTCCAGACAAGAACTCGGGGCAGGGGCAGGGGAGCTGCCTGAATAAGGAGATGGCTTCCCAGACGTGGACTCGGGGCAGGGGCAGGGGAGCTCCTGACGGCCGTGCACAGCACGCTCCTGCCGGCCGCACGGCGCCCTCGGTGCTCACCGGTCGTGGGTCAGCTGCTGCATGAGCTCCTGCCAGTGCCTGCTGGCGCTGAGGCTCACCCGGTACGCCCCTCTGATGTGCTGGATCACCTTCTTCCTCTCCAGCCCCTGGGACAGGGACACGACCTGGGTGATGTCTGCAGCTATTTTGGATATACCCTTTGATTTCGAATCAAGACGCTGGAAAAGACTGAACAAACACGCGTCAGGGCGTGGTATTAAAAGTGCAGAGGCCACATGACGCATTCCGGAGAGACATGCACTTGGGACACATCGAGCTTACCTTTGTTGATTGTTGGACACTGTCTTCTGCCAGGTGGCTTTACTCACACTCTCTTCTGCTGCACATTTCTTTAGATCCTGAAAGGTTTAGGCAATAAAATACTAAGTAAAACTTACAGATTTTCTCACAGAGCACAGAGCTCAACAAACTATCAGTGACTTTAAAACCAAGTACAGAAAACATACTGTGTCCAGAAGAGCCGAGCGGTAGGGGGACTACTCACGTAAATGCTGCCAGCACTGCCCTGTCTCTGCCCAGCGGAGCCCAGGAGCCGGGAGAGGCCGAGCAGGGCCGCCCGGCTGAGGCTTTCCCCAGCTGCCTGCTCCCGCAGCTGCCTTTTCATGAAAGAACTCTTACTCAGGCCCTTCCACTGCCTGTTCCCTAGTGATCTTCCTGAGCCAGGTTACTGACAATGGCTGAGAACGGCCACAGACAGCGGAACACTCCTGAAATGCGCCTCTTTCTCTCTCACAGTAAAGAACAGTGTGTGGTTACAGATAACGCGCGCACTTCCCGTTCACAGAGACAGTGAGAACGGGGACTTCTACCACTGTCACTGCATGCCACGGGGCCACCTCCGGCACAGGGGCACATGCCGCCTCACCTCCTCGATGGCCTTGGCGAGGTCTGGCTTTGAGGGCGCGCTGGGGAGGGTGCACTTGTGGCCGCACAGCCGCAGGGCACCCAGCAGCAGCTCTCCCGCCTCCAGCTCCTCGGCCGACAGTTCGTCCCGGTGGACGTGCATCAGCTCTGACAGGTACAAAACCGACTTGGCTCCGTGCTTTAACAAAAGGAACGGAGTTTGCTTAGTAATAAAGGAAATTCATTTCTTACATTTAAATTTTTTAGCAATAGTTAAAGCAAGTTACATTGCTAGATCCATGTGATTGGATCTGATAGGAATAAACCAGCGACAGAAGGCACTCTGGGGATGCTCACGAAGCTTGCTGATGCTCGCTGGGTGTCTGAGGGCACGAGAGAACTGATGCTGATTCGTTTAGAGGGGAAATGTTATGATTCCATGAGAAAATCTCTTTAAAATGCAACAGGGCAGCTGCAGTGGTATACCGGCAATGCAGTAATGCCCCGCAGAGCGGAAGCCATGGGGAGGTCTGGAGTTAGTGTCCTGAGGTCTCCCTGACCGGCCCGGCCTGTGTGGGTGTGTGTCCACGACACAGGACGGCTGAGGCTACGAGTCCCATGGAGGGACGCCGTGCTATGGCCCCTGTCTCTCTCTCTCTCTTGTGGAAGAAATAATATAAAACAATGTAAAATGCCATGATTTCTAGAATATGCTTTTAAGTAATTCAGAAAAGGAAAAAAATGACACCATTATAGAAACATCAACAATTGTTAGGACCAGCAGTTAGCGTAATGGCCATGTCGCTGGACTCCCATGTAGTCGACCGCGGTTCGAGTCCCGGACCTGGTGGCTTAAACTCACGTCAGGCGCATGTGCGTGCATGCCCAAGATCCCGAGAGGAGAATGGAGGAGAAGGGATTGCGGCGAGGCCATCCCCCCTGGGGATGAGTCCGAAAACGGCTGCTACTGACCACACAGGTAAGGGGGAATTTGTTTGTTTGTTTGTTTTAAGGCTAAAAACAAAGGATTTTACATCTATACTTAGTTGCATCCTTCAATTTGCTATAGGGCACATGCTCTCACCAGTGAGACAGAGACAGAGAGAGAAAGAGGGAAAGTGAGAAAGCAAGCTACCAGGTCCAGGACTCAAACTGTGGTCAGCCATGTGGGAGTCCAGCATCCTTAACCACCACACCACCTAGTGGCCCCAAGAACCCAATTTAGGGACTGAATCTATTAAACACAAATCCTTAGACAACAATAACATGTAAAAAGTATAAAACTTAAAAGGTTCAGTGAAGGTTCTAAGAGGAGTTCTGTGTGAGAAACATCCAGAAGGAATGACTGTGGAGAAGGTGGGCGAGCCGGGCTGGGGACAGACAGACGGGCGAGGCCATTCTGTGCTGGTGGCAATCCGGGTGAGTATACGGCAGGGCGGTGCAGGGGTGGAGGAGGCTGCACAGATGAGGTGGGGACAGTCTGGGAAGGAAGAGGCTGTGCACTGGGACCTGCATCAGAGCCGAGCTGGCGCAGGAGGGAACGGGCTGCCAGCAGAACCCGCCTGTGTGTGCGGCCGGAAAAACGCACCCAGACACCTGCACATGCTGCGGCACAGAGCTTGGGGATGCTGGAGCGACGGCGAGGTGTGCAAGGGCGTGCACGCTGCTCCTCCCACAGGTGAGAAGTGGGAGAGTATTCACACGTGTGTGTGCACGGCTTTGCTTTGTCTTCAATAGAAATAGAAAAAACCCAGAAAGATGTCACCTACAGGAAGAGGGGACGACAGGGAGGAGGTGCGGGGATAAAGCTAGAGCCTCTCTGCACGTGCTCTGGTTCACAATTCCAATTTTGAAACCACGTAGACATTTTATGTGATTAAAAACAAAATTAAACCAACAAAAATCTAATGACATCTTTAAAAACAGAAAACAAAATACAAAAGCCCAAACACAGAAATTCTAGTTAGTTGGCAGGGACCAGCAGTTGGCGTAATGGCTATGTCGCTGAACTCCCATGTAGTCGACCGCAGTTCAAGTCTTGGAACCAGTGGCTTAAACTCATACCAGGCGCGTGTG